ATGATAACTATCAAAACGCCTGCCATTTGGTATAAATAAACATAATCAGCAGTGTTGGCATTCATTTCCACAAAATTCAGAGGTCATGGACCGTTTAATTAATTAGGATGGTTGCCTTACAATTTCAGCGCATTTTTAATGACCAAGGCAGGAACTAGCATGACTTTAACATAGCAGAGTTGGCTAAATTTAATCCAAGTTGAAGGATAATTACCGTCGTAACGCTTGTGAAAAAAAAAACAAACAAAAAAATAGCCTCTACATAAATATACAATAAAACGAGAGAAAAATTAAGAGAAAACGATGAAATCAATTTAAATTTGGTCAAGTAAATCAAGAGAGGGAGGAGAATAAATGAAATAAAAATGCGTCCAATTTTGGTGAAAACTTATGAAAGTTAAATGGTATATATTCCAACCTCCTACACCCCTCTCACTTTGACCAAATTACAAATTTTATATTCTATAGAACGAAAGAGACAAGTTACGAATCGAATCTAATACTCAACTCTCTCAATAATAATAATAATAATAATAACATTTAAATCTATTAGAGAATTCTTTTCCGCGTAGATGTTGGCTCATGTGTCCGTGATATTCTCGGTATTGGGGGTAAGTCATCAAGCGCGTTTCTGAAAGTAGACCAGGCTGCGAACCTCGCCAACAGTCACGAAGCCCGAAGATCAACATGGGAGAATAATAACTCAAGAGGAGATAGAGCCTAAAATGCACTCAAGAAGAACACCATACTACTGGGGACTAGAGTGGAAATGATGGCCGCTTACTCTAATCTTTGAACCACCAAAGCGCTCTGATCTACTCTTCTCTCCCACAAATTTGTGCCTTTTCCCTCAATCACGTTTCCTCTAGACTGTAAAGCACTAGATTTAAACCCAATTTGATCAAGCTCTTTGAAATATGCACATTAGCTGGATATGGAACTATTTCATTATACATCTACCTGTCCCACATTAAATAGAACGTATAAGCAGACTATTAATCAGTCAGCTTAATTTACTTCGCCCTTATTCTTTAAAAGAAACATTCAAACCCTTAAAAAATAAGTGGAAGACGGGAGGGGGGGGGGAGAAAGTAGTTCCATTCCACGCAAACGATCCAATGTACCTCCTTTAAATTTTCCTTTCGAGATATAGTGCGGGGAAATAAATAAAAGAGGGAAGAACAGATAAAATAGATTAAAATTCTGAACAAAAATGAAATGGAGGGAAGGGGGAAGGGCATTCGTGTCAATAACAAGAACTTAGCATTAACAAAAGAAAATAATGACCTTCAGGACAGCCAATTGAAATGCTCTTTTACATGATTTCTAACTAAATGGAGAGAAGGTGGCGGAGGAGGAAACACAAGCAACTGTCTTTAAAAAAAGGAAAGAGTGACGAGATACAACCATTCGGAGAAGCAGGCACATTCAAGGTGAAGAACGCAAATCTACACAAACGAATGAACGAGACGCTACAGTAGATATACGGAATAAACCTCCAAGCAAAAACTACTTCAACGGAATTTTTTTGTATTTTATTCTTGGTTCTATGCCTTCCACAACATTTAATCCCATTTATCCGGTGATTGTTAAGAGTAAAAGATACCATGACCCCTACCAGCGTGGATTCGGAAGATTTCAAAATTAAACAATAAGAACATGTAGGAAATGGAATGTCTTAAGAAACAATAATTTGAAATGAAATCACAGCAATACTTTTTGAGCGATAGCATAGGTGAGTGCTGCTTCCTTGACTTCGAAATCGTCCACTAGAGTAATATTATACGCCATGAAACCCTCTCGATAGAAATAGTTGTCGTCCTTTCTGAATATCGCCACCCGCTTCCATTGCCACTCCTGAAAAAGCCGACTGAAGATAAAACTATTGGAGAAAATGGAAAAAAGTAAGAAAAGAGGTTAAAGCCAGCACATTCGAATAAAAAACAATCACTAATATTTCTACATCTCGGTATGCAGTTCAGAATTCATGATTTGTTTTACGCTATTTTCTGCAGTCCATTTCTAAAAAATCTATCTCCTCTATAGGTATGTCGACGTAACCTAAACCCACCGTAGCATTGTGCACTAACCCAGTAAAGCACAATTAATAACGCTCCAATGTCTCTTCTAACTTTGGAGAAATTGGAGGTGACAGGTGAGGAACACGAGGTGGTTGGATTTTGCAACTATTCCACTCTTCCCTAGTGGGCAATCTGCATTGCTATAGGAAGCATTAACCAAATACCTCAAGTTTCAAAAGTTGGGGATACACATCACCGTATGAGCTGATAGAAATAAGGCATACCTTGCAGTGTAGGCAGAAGGGATTGTTCGAAAAAAGAATTTATAGTGCTTCTGCCATAGGAAAGACGCTGATTCAACCGTGGGGGAAATGACGAGGACTCGACGCAAATTGGCCAAACGAACAGTCGCTTCGATAGCGTCTGGACAAAGAGCAACTAAAGAGAGAGAAAAAGAGGCATATTGGAAGTTTGAAAATAAATGCATACTTTCCAGTTACAATTTTCACATTAGTAAAGCAGAATATAATAGATTTGTTTCAAAGGTTTTTATAGAAGATAACAGAAAAGTTAGTAATATAGATTTTTTTCGAATTCTAACGTCTTTGATATCAGATCCGCTCTATGCTATCTCATAAAATAAGAGTCGAATATAATAGACCATCCTCAAACACATTGAAGAAGCTTATAAAACTCATCTTGGACGGTAGAGGCATTCTTGAGCCTGTAGTGCTTTCCCACTTTACAGCATGTCCTCTATCTCAAAAGTACATTCGGGACAACATGACGTAAATTTCAAAGTAAGTTGTCTGTTCACAGGAATGCATCAACACTTATTTGGTATATGACAAAACATCATTCCCTTTTATTCTTTGTCTCAGTATATAAATAAATTTATGCATACACGCAACCTGTCTACTGACCTGTTATAACTGCTTGCACTAACTACACACTAAATCTCATTCGCCGTTTTTGGCCCTAAGTAAACCCATTTCGTCATACTCATCTATCTTTCTTTGCATCCTGTTGCCAATGGTAAGATAGTTGAAAGAAAAAGGTATAGTTTTAATAATGGCTCCGGGGAAAGCGAAGTACCCTAGAGGGTAGTGACTCCTGCTAAGACTTTCCAATGGAAGGGCCGCAATTTACCCACTTAATTCATTTAGGTATCCCGGTACAAAAGTTAAATGTAATAAGACTCAATGATGCCAAGACGTTGCCTCCACGACAACCGTCTGATCCCTCCTCCATAATCATTCATTGGACTTCCAGTTAATCAACTTCAGTTGGCCTCCCTTGCTATTAAAAATATTACATTATTTGCATTGTTATGCATCTCAAAGAAATTATATAATCGACGTTGTGCTTAAATGATTTAAGTTAATTTATGCTAACTATTAGCTAGCATTAAAAAGAATTGAATTTCAAATTTAACCCAAACATTTAGCCGATAGGTCAAATCGCAGTACACTGTACGCTGAGAGGAAAAATGGAGGAACTGAAATGGGATCTAAGTGTGACGACTTGCAATATCAGGCCTCGTGCGTATCATTCGCAATAGTTTCCGACACAGAGTTAGACGTAGAAGAGGCAAATTGACGCCTGCTCTCACCGTTGGTAATTTTTCTGCTTCTTGGTTTTCAATTCCACCTTCCTGACATCTTGCAGACCTTACGCCCTTTAATATTAAATGTGCCTTTATTGAATATCTACTTAGAGTGCGACATCTATACACTTACCGCAAAACCACGAGATTTGATGTCGCTATATGCAGAACGTAAACACACAAAAGTTATGGATGTCAATGCGAAAGGGCCAAGAAAGGTGAGATCTTTTGGCAGGCACCCAAGTTATCTCAAGGTCTGAAACGGGGACGTGAATTAAAAGTGGCTGTGTAGCATTAACTAATGTGCAGGCTTTGCTGTGGGCGCGCCAAATCGCCCGATTAAATAAGTACTAATCGGCTTTGACCAATGATTTTCATTGGCACCATTTAGAAATATTTTGAAGTTCCATTACCACGCTCACCGAGCCGTGATAGGCTATCTCTAGAAGTCAAGGAGTACTAGTGGACAGAGAATAAACCAGGCAGATTGATTACTTAGACAAACTGAACAACCCTGCGATAGACCTGACCACCTAATTGAGTAGCTTAAAAAGTACACCTTCTGCCTAAAATAGAACTATTTTGAGGAATTTAAACCCTAGACACATAAAATCGACCTCAAGTTTACTTTATCCCCCCTACATCCACCATAAAGAAAGACAATTGAAATTGTCACATCCAATTTAAAAAAAACTAGAAAAAGAAGAAACGGAGAAAATACGGGGCATAAGAATAAGAAAGGAAATGGCTGTGTATCCCTATCGATATCGAGGCTCTAAGTGGTCATTCTCTTGTGAAAGAAATTAAAATGCGAACCGTTGTTACCGCAAAAATGACAAATATAAAAGAGTAGTTACATTTAACTATGAAAGACGCAAAAAAGGAATGGGCACTTCATCGAAAACAGAAATTATGCTGGAACTATTTGCCATTCATATGAAACAAGGGAAATATATTGAAAATTAAAACTTCCTAACCAATGGGAGAGAAGAATTGAATGAAGAGGTAAGGCTGCCTTTTCTTGGTTGAAATAGCGCCTAGTAAGCACCAGCAGCAAACCATGGGGGCAGGGGGAGGGGTCCGAAGTGGGAAGTGAGATGCCTCCATTAAGTAAATATTGTACAACCAGAGACCAAAATCAAAAGCAATATGACTCTTTGGTACCTTGACGTTGCTCCTCCTTAACACTTATTGGGCTCTTTATTAGTCCATGTCATTTGCTGCTTCCCACAATTAGAAACTGCGCCTTTTAAAGCGGGTAACAATAATGGCAGCACACCGTGGCATAGAAATTAACATATAAGTCTGCGATCTTTGATTTAAATTGCTCGATACCCATCGGTGAAAGCTCAACGAGTGAAATACCCACCCGTATTGATTAAGTCTGACTAATTAAGAGGTGGAAGAAATTAAGCAACTTGTAGAAGAGACACCACCATCTCCCCTACCCGCAATCCTCTTTTCTCAGATGTGTTTTAAAACGCATTTCTAAAGGGGCTCAATAATTTTATACAGAGGTCCAAGCTCAAAATTCATCGGCAAGTAGAATTAGCTAACGAGTATGTCAGTTTTTCTGCAAAGTCAGATTTCACGAGTTCGATTCCAATCGGCAGGTAACCAGTGAGAGGAGTGGCAAGCAAAAGTAGTTAATTCTAGCTAATAAAGAAGTTGTTGAAGTTAGGTTTCACACAAAGGAGGCTTCATAGTAGCACTACCTCTACTAATATGACCTAACTCTGCATTCATAGACGCACACAATCTACGTATCACTTATTATAAGAGGGACATCGGAATCGGGAAATTCCGTTCAAAAGGAATGGAGCATGGCAGTATTCTGATCACGATGGGTACTGGAAAGCACTGTTTCAGTGGATTTGGGAGTAAACCCAAAGAAGTAATGCTAGTTTAGTGTCACAATAACTGGTTGGTAAGCCCCAATAATTTAATGATTAATTAGAAAATTGGAGACAATTACAGTTCACATCAGTGCTCACACTGGCGGTGAATACATGTATTTCCATGTATCAGTTGGTTTATTTATATTGCTGAGAATGAGTAGTGCACCAATGGAATTTTGGCAAACCACATGCGACTCGCAAATCAGAGGTTATGGATTTGATACTCCCATTACTTTCGTCGAGAAAGAGGTAGAAGATAAAGAGTCTCTCTTTAGATAATCTCACGTGTGCTACTTTTCTACTCAGGTTGAGACCTGAAAAGCACTTCCCTGTGAGTAAAAAAGTTTTGACATTCGGCAGATTCGCTACTCGTGAATAAACGTCAATAATTAGAAGAATGATTACGCAGTGACAAGCTACTCCTTTTGCCTCAATATCGATAATGAATGAATTTACTTCCAAGCGTCTATTCACCCATCACAAATGAAGTGGGTGTCACATGCGGCTGACAGAGTCGAATACACACGCAAACGCATAGAAAATAAAACGTACCCCAATTATATACCCCCCCCCCTCTCTCTCTATCACACATAGTTATCCTGTCTAATTTGCATTCATTTTTAATGCTAAGCCCTCGTGGCTATTATGAAATTGTTAGTCTGAATTATATGACTTAAACTAGGGAGACATATTACCTGGTTCATTAGGAGAGCAGATATTGCTCTAGACTTATCACCAGAGAGACTAAAGGTAACTCCTAGGATCGAATAACCTCATTCGAACACGTAAAGGCAATTCGCAAAGCTCCTTCTCGTCTTAAAATGTCAATAATTATTAAACAATAACAGGGCGTGGCAAAATATTACGACTTTTCCATAGAAGTACTAAGTGTGGCCGGAAACAATCGGCTTAAGACTCTTCTAAATACTATGAGAAAGCTGATATTAGGATTGCGCTCTTGTAGAGCCTCATAATCTGTTAAGAGCGAGCAGCCATTTTCCAACGAAGAAGATTTCGTCTTCGGGTTATTATGAAACATCTTCCTCGCACTCTTACCCTAAATCCTCTTGAATCTTTAAAATCCAAGGAGATTCGAAATAAAATCTTCAAAGTCTTGATAAAAATTCTTGGAGGACGACAAGGAAGTCTTTGGTTTGGTCGGTCGTCATCGGCTAACATTGTGTCAATTACTGTTAGTAATACCTCAAACCCACACTCTCTGAGTAATCAAGCGAAATGACGAAACCCGAAACTACAAACGATACTATTATGCAATTTACAGAATCACCGTTCCTGCAATGATCAATAAGAAATTCCAGTAGATAATTTCAGGGGGTGATGAAACGACCCTTATCGGAGTATCATTCTTGGTGTAGATATTGGATTTATTGTGAGCTTTTGAAAAGAAGCCAAAACCGTTATTTTTACGTCTATTAAGAGAAGAATTAGATATTCCGATTCCCATGAACAAATACCAATACCCCTGCATATAGGTACCCCATATCGAATAAAATGTATCATTATCGCAGTGTCCTAACGAGCTCAAACAATCGGGAAATTATAGGTGAATGTTTGCTGGACACTAAAAGCAGAATCCCATTACCTAAAGGCCACTTTAAGTTTCCAAGAAAACTACGCTACTTACACGCCAGCTTTCTAATGGCTAGCAGACACTGATTAGCATTCCCCATGTACTTGTCGAAAGCATTGCCGGGTCATATACTGACTAATCCTAAATTTCGATTGGTTACTCATCGGACAATTTGTGCCATCTTTTATAACTTGGCTACAACACAGCAAAAACAATTCACGATAATGAAAGGCGGATTTTTTTCCCAAACTCAAAGGAGGAATAATGGTCTTTCTAATTGTTAAAATAACGACAACAGGGAAGTTATGAAAGAAAAGATCTTCCACGTGACTCCCCCACCCACCCACTCAATCTCCTTCCTCTACTCACTTGGCAGACAATACCACGGGTGCACGTATAGAAACACGTAGGGAGAAAACAAGATCAATGTGATTGGTATGTGTGACTTAAGTGAGTGAGTGAGGGGGGGGGGGTTGCGTCTGGTATCACGTCACAGGGTTCTATGCCTTCACGTGATAAGTATGCATTTAGGTAAGATAGAGAATTTGCACATTAATTGTCAAGCGTATGAACACAAAAGTGGATAATTACCGAGGTGGGGGCACGTACTTATGTTATAGTCATTTTATTTTCAAAACGTCTCTCTCTTTCTCTAGATATACAGATAAGTTGTACTCGATTATTTTTACCTGACCCAAGTCAACTCAGATAAACATTTTCCAACGCTAACTTGCTATTATTAGCTAGACTTAACAAGTGGGGCATTTCACAGACTAGATAGTTCGCCTATGGGGCAACAATTCATGACCTCCGACTTCTTAGTAGATCATAGTCCTACTGTGTCATTTGACAACCTTTTTCATACGTAAGCTTCATTGATATTGCGCATTTGAATTGTTTTGACGGGCAAATTGCATTCTAATACTCCCTCTTATAACCAATTGTAATTGGCAGAATGAAAAAGAAACTTGCATCAATGACGCATATGCTTGTACAGTGATGTAATCATCACCATTCCAAAACCTATTCTTTATGAAATAAAAAGCGAGTCCTCGGAACTTCTAATCTTCCATTATCGCTCTATGTAAAAAATTGCGATGAGTCACTAAGACGTCTGACGACATTGGAGACAACGACCGAGGTGAACTACTAACTATTTCCTGTCCACTTAGCCCAATAACTCATTGGAAGTACTTTAAGATTAGGATGTCTGAAGTTGGTAGTTGAACGACCACAATATGAACCTACAAACCGCTAGGTTTCAATCAGCCCATAAATACAGTAGATGTCTCAGGTAGCGATAAGAGACGTTAATCAAATGCCATTGTAGTACCAGGCAATTTAAAGCATTTGCTTAGAGTTCTATAATTTGAGAATGCAAGAAAAAAACGATAGCACTTACGAACTACACCGAGAATACTCTCATTGTTTGGATTAACAGTGAGAAAATTGAAGAAATCGTTGAGCACCACATTTTGAGAGCAAGTGAGATTGCGAATTTGAAGTTTAATAGCAAACTCCGAGTTGCCAAGGTATGCCTCATCGCCATTCAATTGATCCACAGCGTGGAAAGCATCTGGCAAAAGAGAAGATGTGAATTAGAATAATACTAATAATAGTGCTATTTTCCCAAGATTGTTTAAAAAATACTACTTTAAAGTTTAATAAAAAAAAGCACTTGAAAAAATTGGTGTCCATTAAGTAACTTGAAGAAATTAAACGAGGGGGGGGGGGGCAGAAGAGGTCTTTTCATTTGGAGCACAAAAGCATAGAACAGTTCATGTTCCACAAAAGGATGGTTTTCATAATTCCCTAATGTCCAATCATTATCATTGGACTCCAGGGTACATGCTGAAGATTATTTCCACAATATTCAGATACCATCGACTGGTTCATATAGTTCCATAACTTGTTTATTCGCATTTCAATACAGACAAGAGCAAGGAGATGAGACTAATAAGCCATTTTTAGTTCACGATGGGTCAGAAGAGGTCACATGAAAAAGAGTAGGAAAAATTCTCAGCTCTCTTTGCATTTACAAATATATATATACATTTGTGAAATGGGTTAATTAATCAATTGTATTTACAATGAAATTTACTCAATTAGGGACTTGAATTCTAAACAGCAAAATGAGCTTTAAAAAAATAAGACAACTGGAAGGGATACAATGCGTCGAGACCAAGCCAAGTGACAATCAAAGTAACTTTAGACGAGTCAAACCCCCGATTCCATTCAATTGTGCTCGAGTCATTCTGTCTAAAAGGAAGTTCAACGTGTATTCCGATATTGAGAGCCTAAATAACATAGATGAAAGTGACAAAACAGTTAACATTCCAGGGTAATACAATTCTGTGTTATTATAGTTGGCACGAATTTCGATATCCAAACCCTAGACACGAAGTAATAGCATAACAGTGCGATCCAAATCCAGAGATTAAAAAAAACAAAAATGGATTCGATGGAAATGATTTTATAGTAAATTACTTAAACACAAATATTGCAACTGCTATACTCGGCAAATATATGAAACCAGAAGTTAATTACCATAACAAAGTAAGAATAATCATCTGCTTCATTGTCATTTACAATTAGCGCTGGTGGTAAGAGTGTAAGCCGGGCTTTTATTACCAGATAAATGTGCGAATTTTCAGTAATTCATAAGCAAAACGAGAATAGAGCAAGGTAGTTGAACTTCTTCATAGAGGGCTGAAGTATAATGCAGAGACAACCATTCAGAAGAAAGCGAATTTGCGATAAATGAGTGAGTGAGTGATTTCAGCATCATCAGTAGAAGTTACTGTGTAGGGTTATTGCATTCGTCATTTATTCCACCATAAACTAATAACTAGGGAGCCCGTCAAGAAAAGTATAACCCAGAGTTGATCTTGGATAGATTATGAGAAATTGGCACCATATAACCAATCAAACTGAATAATAATTAACAGGCATACTTGGTTACCCACATCAGATGGCAAAGGATCTATTCTACTTACTTCAACGGCCATCGACGAACACGGAAATAGTCGTTCGCATAACTTAAAACACATATAAATAACATAATTAAATTAAGATCATATGCGTTTAGTAAGAGGAGATAAGCGGTGATATAAATACCCTCATTCTACACAAAATGCAAAAATATTTTAAGCAGAATAGTGTGTAATAGACATGATTATCAATTATAAAATACCACCTTTAGGCGAAAAACTTGTGGAGATATTATGACCCATTAGCCGACTATCATGCTGAATTCCAAGAATCAATAAACATCGTAACTATAAAACTATCATCACAAAGCACTTCCATAACTATTCCATAAAACGAACAGGTGGATCTTCACTAGGATTATCCAATATTCGAAAATTTCTGCTACCTTAGGATTGGGTTTTCACTAACTTCGGACAAAGTTGTTGTAGTAACCAACATTATCTCGCACTGTTCTATAACCTAATTTCAACCAAACTGTTAGGCCGTAGTGTAAAACCCATTATCTCTGCGTTTGCTGACCTCTCCCACTAAAGTGCACTTATAGTGCATTTTGAACATATGAAAAGGTGAAAAGTAAACTATGAATGAACTCACATTCACAGAAGTTCTTATGATTCAGATCAACATAAATAAACGGCGTGCCTTAAACGCGTAAGCAGATTCTCAGCAAGCAAGATAAAAGCAATCGAAGGCAATCACAACTCCATTTAAGAACGGATGAAGGATATGCCAAAGAACTCGCGTTAAAAGGTCGCGCTCGGAGTTCAAAGAGGGAATAAAAATTTGCGACTTCTACCGACTTGTAAGTGAAATACTTTTTCGGAGTGAATGGCATTTAATACGAAAGGGGTTTCCCACAATTCAAAATTAGGGGAGTTAAGAGGGGAAGCGAGAGAGCTTAGTGAAATGCCTGCTACTTTAAGCATAAGTGAAATATGGAAGAATCATGACATCATTATCATGATAGTAAATTATATGACTTCATTAGGAGTTAGGTGAAACCCGTTTACGCTCTAGGGTGGGAAAGTGAGTTTGGTTGAAGCTCCACAACTCTGGAAAGTTATCCATATCAAACGAATGGGGTGTGCGATAGACTTACCTCCACGTGGTGCATCCTGGGCAAAGTGTACTCATACGGCAAAAAAAGTCTATTATTCGGCAGATGACTTCTGACTTCAAATGACCATCGCCCCACTGTATGTCAAATTCCACCACTTCCACAGCAATCACCTCACCTTTTTTTCTACATTTGTGTCTGACTCTTTTACATCTTTGAAA